CATATTCATCAGGGATACTGGTCTGAAATTCTCCTTTTTGGTGGGGTCTTTGCCTCGTTTGGGGATCAGGGTAATGCTGGCTTCATAAAAAGAGTCTGGAAGTTTTCCTTCTGTTTCTATTTTTTGAAACAGCTTCAGGAGAATTGGTATTATTTCTTCCTTGAATGTTTGATAGAATTCTCCAGGGAATCCATCAGGTCCTGGGCTCTTGTTTTTTGGGAGGTTTTTGATCACTGCTTCAATCTTGTTACTAGATATTGGTCTATTCAGATTGTCAATTTCTTCCTAATTCAGTTTTGGAAGTTTATAGGTTTCCAGGAATGCATCCATTTTGTCTAGGTTGCTTAACTTATTGGCATACAACTCACTGATGATTATAATTTCTGATGATTATTTCTATTTCCTTGGTGTTAGTCGTGATATCTCCCTTTTCATTCATAATTTTATTAATTTGGGTCCTCTCTCTTTTCTTTTGGATTAGTTTGGCCAATGGTTTATCAATCTTATTGATTCTTTCAAAAAACCAGCTTCCAGTTTCACTGATGTGTTCTACTGTATCTGTAGTTTCTATCTCATTGATCTTTGCTCTAATCTTGATTATTTCCCTTCTTGTGTGTGGGGTTGGCTTAATTTGTTGTTGATTCTCCAGTTCTTTAAGGTATAAAGAGAGCTGATGTGTTCTGGATTTTTCAATTTTTTTGAGGGAGGCTTGGATGGCTATGTATTTCCCCCTTAGGACCGCCTTTGCCGTATCCCATAGGTTTTGGATTGAAGTGTCTTCATCAAGATCAAAAGCTTCTGCTCAGCAAAGGAAATAGCCAACAAAACAAAGAGGCAACCCACGGAATGGGAGTAGATATTCATGAATGACACTACAGACAAAGGGCTGATATCCAAGATCCATAAAGAACTCCTCAAACTCAACACACACAAAACAGATAATCACTTCAAAAAATGGGGAGAAGACATGAATAGATACTTCTTCAATGAAGACATACAAATGGCTATCAGACACATGAAAAAATGTTCATCATCACTAGCCATCAGGGAGATTCAAATCAAAACCACATTGAGGTACCACCTTACACCAGTTAGAATGGCCAAAATTAACAAGACAGTAAACAAGTGTTGGAGAGGATGTGAAGAAAGGGGAACCCTCTTACACTGTTGGTGGGAATGCAAGTTGGTGCACCCACTTTGGAAAACAGTGTGGAGATTCCTTAAGAAATGAAAAATAGAGCTACCCTATGACCCTGCAATTGCACTACTGAGTATTTACCCCAAAGATACAGATGTAGTGAAAAGAAGGGCCATCTGTACCCCAATGATCATAGCAGCAATGGCCACAGTCGCCAAAAGGTGGAAAGAACCAAGATGCCCTTCAAAGGACGAATGGATAAAGAAGATATGGTCCATGTACACTGTGGAGTATTATGTCTCCATCAGAAAGGATGAATACCCAAGTTTTGTATCAACATGGACGGGACTGGAAGAGATTATGCTGAGTGACATAAATCAAGCAGAGAGAGTCAATTATCATATGGTTTCACTTACTTGTGGAGCATAAGGAATAACATGGAGGACATGGGAAGATGGAGAGGAGAAGGGAGTTGGGGAAATTGGATGGGGAGACAAACCATGATAGATTGTGGACTCTGAGAAACAAACTGAGGGTTTTGGAGGGGAGAAGGGTGGGGGGTTGGTGAGCCTGGTGGTGGGTATTATGGAGGGCACATATTGCACGGAGCACTGGGTGTGGTGCAAAAAGAATGAATTTTGGAACACTGAAAAAAATCAAATCAAATAAAAATTTTTAAAAATTCGGCTTCTGTTGAGAAATTGGAGTTCTGATATCACTGGTCCTGAGCCAGTTCTTCTGGGTTCCCTGGAGAGACACCAGTCCAACCAAGCAGTGCCCCCTCCTCACAGGGCTGGGATGCAGCTCTGTGGTGCCCTGTCCTGAGCTTCTTGGTTGTAAGAACTCAAACTTCTTTCCTTTGTTCCCCAGCCCTAGGTAGGCTCTGTGATACCTCAGTGACCCCTTTTGCCTTTTCATTCCTTATGTGTGTGTTTAACATATCCCCTATAGTAGATCTCTCTGTTGAAACACCTGGTGTGGTTCCATTTTCCTGGCTGGCTCTGGCCTGTAGCACTCGGCTACTGTTCCTGCCTGGTGATGCTGGACAGCGGCTGACCCCCCAGATCAGGTATCATCTTGCCTGGTCACCTCTCCCTGACTTCCTGTTTTTCTACCTCTGGCTAACTTGGCCTGCCTGAGATCAGATGTGTGCCCCTGCTCTGATCAAGTACCTTCCAAGGAGATGCTCCTTATTGAGCACCTTACTGTGTGCCAGAGACCATGTATAAGACTTTATACATCAACTATACTCAAATAATAAAAGCAGACACCAAAAAAACACACAAAAAGGATTGCTTTCAAATAAGAGAATATAAACCTGAAAGAAACTTCTCTAATAATAGGGTTTTAATAAAACCAATTATTATAATATATGAGACATAAAACTAGGCATCTAATAACAATCTGTATGGATGATTCTTTAAAAATAAAGACTTTAGGGGCACCTGGGTGTCTCAATGGGTTAAAGCCTCTGCCTTCAGCTCAGGTCATGATCTCAGGATCCTGGGATGGAGCCCCACATCGGGCTCTCTGCTCAGCAGGGTGCCTGCTTCCTCCTCTCTCTCTGCCTACTTGTGATCTCTGTCAAATAAATAAATAAAAATCTTTAAAAAAATAAAAAAATAAAGACTTTATGCACTAATCCCATGTAGTCCTTGCCACAACATTGTGAAGTGGGTGCTGCTCTGATCCCCACTATACAGAAGGGGACATTGAGTCCGGGACAGAGAAGGACTTGGCCAAAATCCCAGCCAGGCTGTAGCAGAGCCAGCCACAAGGACACAGCATTCTCACAAAATGAGGCTAAACACACTGTCCCTGAGTCAGTAGGTTTCTTTTTCTATCATAAAAATCTACATTCTATAACTGTTTGGTAAATATCTGACCTAGATTTGTGTCTTCATTTTCTCATCTCTAAAATGGAGATCATGACAGATGCTACCTCACATGGGTTTCAGTGAAGATATGGTGTTCACCAAGTGCCTGGCTCCACAGTCAGCACATAAGAAGGGCTGAACAGATGTTAACCATTGATATGATTACCTAGATCTGGAAGGATTATTATGCAAAGCATGAAATGCACAGTGGGTGGAGATGATGCTTATGGAAATATCCTTATTATGTAATGGAAAAATCCTTATCCTATGTGCAAGAGAAAAGGGCCCAAAATAAAAATAAATAACTCATGCACTAAAGACTCACAGGAAACACACCCAAACATTAACTGTGGTTGATTCTGGGTGCTGGGATTTGGGGCAAACATTTTTTTTTTTCTAATGCAAATGTTTAAAAGGTAATAAATCAGTTAAAAAAAAAAAAAAAAAGAAGCACCATACCCTTCAAATTTATCTACAGATGCAGTGCAATCCTATCACAATTCCCACTGGTTTCTTTGTGAAGTTGATAAACTGCTTCCAAAATTCATGTGGAAATGCAAGGGACCCAGGACAACAAAACAATTTTGAGGAAGAGGAGTAAAGGTGGAGACCTGTGCCACAGGCATCTACATCAGGGCCAGGATCAGAGCTGAATGCTGAGACGGCACGATCGTGCTTACTGAGAACATTCCCTACTCAGAAGTCACTGTTCTTCTGAAATAATGCTGTAAGTTTCATTGAGACAGTTGTCTTAGAATGAGAGTAGAAAAAAAAAATTTTTAAGTCCTTGGAAATTCTCTGGTTTCGTGGTTTCTGAGAGATGACTTTTTCACCAGACCACAGTGATTCGAGGAAAAAGGACACACAGTAAAGTTTTCATAAAGCTTCATTTATTCATTTAAAACCCTCTTGTTTCCAATGATAACTTCCCTGCCTCTTTTTTTTTTTTTTTTTAAGATTTTATTTATTCATTTGACAGAGAGAGAGAGCACGAGAGGGTGCGGGACAGAGGAAGAAGTGGACTCCCCGCTGAGCAGGGAGCATGACAGGAGGCTTGATCCCAGGACCCCAGGATCATGCCTGAGCAAAGGCAGACACTTAGCTGACTGAGCCACCCAGGTTCCCCTTCCCTGCTTTTTTGATGTGAAACTATTCTTTCTTTTATAAAATGATGCTGATGTTTTTATTGTCTTCAATCAGCAAGAGAAAGAGTTGGTAGCCCTCCTTTGACTATTTATTTATTCACTTGAGAGTGCACACCTGCAAGTGGGGGCTGGGGAGGGCCGAGGGAGAGAGAGAATCTTAAGCAGGCTCTACGTCCATCATGGAGCCAGATGCAGGGCTTGATCTCAGGATCCTGAGATCATGACCTGAGCCAAAATAAGAGCTGGCTGCTTAACCAACTGAACCACCCAGGCTATTTAATTTATTTTTAAAATATTTTATTTTTAAGTAATCTCTACACCCAACACAGGACTTGAATTTACAATCCCAAGATCAAGAGTTGAATGCTCCATCAATTAAGCCAGCCAGACACCACCCCCTCATTTAAAAAAAAAAAAAAATACTCTCTAACTCAGATATCCCAAAGTCTGGGAAACACAGGGGAAAACTGCTGCTGCCTTGGGGCTGCTCTCCCTGGAGTGGGGGCCTAGGTTGGCCAAGCTCTATAAGGCAGCTTGGCATAAGGAGAACATAAGCTTAGGTTCAAATGGCGGCTCTGCCACTTGCTTACTGTGGGAACTTGAGGAAGTTACTAAAGTTCCTTGAGTCTCTTTCTCCTTCTGCAAAATTAGGCTGATTGACATGTCAAGGGTGCTGTGAGAATTAAATCAGATAACATATGTGACTGTACTTGAACCACCATAAATGCTTGAGAAAGTATCCTCTAAGAGTCTGTGAGCTCAGGGAAGGCCCCACTTTTCTCTTCTGTAAACTGAAGAGTTCTTACCTCTTCAGTCATTCTTTATATTCCCACTCTGGTCTCTTCTGTATGTTCTCTAGTTTGTCACTATTGCTCTTGAGATGTGAATCTACAACTGAATACATGCTGTTGGTGTGGACTAGCTGTATAAAGAACTACTATCACCTCCTTCAATCTAGACTCTGTACCTCCATTTATGCAACCCAAGTTTGCAGTGAATTTTTGTGTATGTGTGCTTCTGTTTCACTCCTTTGGTATTTGTTGGGCTTAGAGTACCTAACAGCCCCAGACCTTTTCATAGGAATGTTTGCAAAACCCTCTTTTTGAACTTGTGCAATTGGAGTCTTGGCTCTAAAGTGAGGGGCTGTACATTTATTATCTTTTATACTTTATCCAATAGACAAGTTGCCTTCCCTGACTAGATGGGGTCAAAGGAGACTCCAAATGTGTTCTCATACTCAAGAAACCTGAAGGAACATTTAGCTGACTCTTTTTTTAGTCCAGGGAAGAAAACATTTATTTGAATCTTGTTGGAATCCAAAGCAGCAGGGCCGGCACTAGGCAATGGGGCTAGAGAAGATGCCCCCAGCAGCTCCCTGTATCAGGCTTATCCTAGGGGCCTGGCATGATGGCTCCCTGCCTCAGGGCAGTAGTTTCTCTTTCCTTGGATGACTCTGTAAGGCTTAGAGGCCACCTGGATGGCCTGGCAATTTGAGAGGAATCAGAGGCTCACACGGATTATAGCTTGTAGGGCCCAGGGGTCTCCTACTGTCTTCTGAGAGTAGTAACATCCTAGAATCCTCCTGCTGATCCAGGAACCACGAAGGGCATAGGCCTGGTACCTTTCCTCTGCCTTCCAACCTGGCAGCTGGATTGCATGCCAATACTGCCCAAATGATGCCTGGGTCCAGGCTGGTATCAATGTTCAGACTACATGGAAGGAAAAGCGCTCTCTTTATTGCTCTAGACTGGCCCGCCCGCGTGTCTCCCAGGACGGCGCTCTGCCCTTGTGCACTCAGGAGATGCAGTATGGTCATACTGGGGCCCAGCGTGGCTCCTGGCCCAGCACTGGCCTCAGTCGGTCTTCCTGAATCCTGGAAAGCAAAGCCCACAGGATGGCATGGGATTCTGAAGGCAGCAAGGCCTCATCTATACCATTCCCCTCAGTTGCCCAAATACTTCTCACAGCTGGGATAATGTGGTCACCCTAGAAGCCATGGCTCTCCATCACCTGCAGCCACTGCAATTAATTTCCCTTTCATAAATTAAATAGGTTATAGGACACAGATATCCCCAGCACAGAGCCACACAGCCCCCTGGCCACTCAGTATTGAGACACCATGGTAGGCACAGAGCTGCTGTCAGAAAGAAGGAGGAGCTCCTTTAGCCTAGCCCAACCACACTAGCTGTGTGACCCTCGACAAATCACTCCACCTCTCTGGGTCTCAGTTCCCTCATCAGTCCTTTGCAACATAACTGCAGCACACTTAGTAGGCAAATAAAATCCTGGCAAAAATGGTGTTTGGGTAAGTGTAAAGGTCTATGAGAGAATGAGGAACACCCAGATTCCCTTCACTTTTCTACTGTGTTCTACACTTGAGGACTTGCACCTCCGTTTCTCACATGCTTTTGCACAACACCATTGCGCAGTGGGTATTACTACACCCATTGTCCAGTGGAGGAACAGAGGCTGAAAGATGATCCTGGGCCCCAGAGCTGGTGACTCGGCAAGAACAGCCCTTGAACCCAGGCCCCTGACTCCAGACCCTGTGCTCTTTCCTATAGGCTAAGCCTCATTTGCAACCAGAGACCCTGATAGGGAGAAAGAGGGTGAACATAAGAAGGGTGGAAACATTACCCATCAGCCTAAGCTTCTGAAAGAGCGGGATGAAGCCGTGCAGAACACTGTGGATCCGGTAAACTGCTCACAAACAGAGAAAAGGAGTTTGAGCTTTGTGCCCCAACAAGGGACTCAGGCTCACCCCCCCACCCACCCGCAGACAAAAGCTTAAACCACACACACACAGGGATTAGCGGTGGAATTTCAGGCAGCAGGTTGAGCTTAGATAATAGTACTGGAGTTATTATTATTAAAAACAATGACCTCCAATAGCAATAACAGTGCCAGGAAACTCAGTGAATTCAGTACCCCGCTCCATGAACTGCCCTGTTTTCCATCTCTGGCTAATTCTGTTTGTTTGCCACTTTAAACTGTTTTTGTTGCATTTTTGTGGAGCTGCCCATTTTTTCCATGGGGTTTTGCCAATGACCTCACCGTGACCTTGAAAGCGCTCAGGAAGAAAACATAAGCATAAGGAAATCTTGAAAAAATGTTTGTGTGGTGGCTTTCTGACCCTCGGTGGGCATCTGTGGGCGTCCAGTCACCACCCCTAAAGAGTCTGTGTGTGTGTGTGTGTGTGTGTGTGTGTGTGTGTGTGTGTGTGTGTATGGGGGGAGCTTACCCAGCCCAAAATAGATGCTGACAGTCTCCAGGGAGGCGAAGGTGAGTAGGCCGACCCCAAGGGACATGAACCAGTCTGTAAGGGCAGCAAGGGAGAGAAGTGTCAGCCTGCAAGTCTGGACCCTCCTATCCCCCCACCTGTTCCCACGGTCCTCACCTGCATAATAGTGATAACACACCAGCAAGGTCCCAATGGCAAAGCAGAGCAGGACAAAATGGAAAAACTCATCTGTAAAGGCAGAGGTGGGAAATTACTATTTGCTTCTTTCTTTCTCTCTTTGCTGTCTCTGCTCCAATGTAACTTTATTCAGAACCCAACTAAAAAAATCACCCCAGCCCCACTCCTTTCCAGGCTTTATCTCTTTTTATTATTTTTCTGACACTGACACCACTCAACTTGTTATATATTTATTTCCACCCTTGTTCTCAAAAAACAAACAAAAAAATGTGAAACAGATTTATTCTCTGTCCCTCTCAGTAGGATCGTAGGTAGGAATTTTGCTCAGAGACTAAAGTACTGCCAGGCATGCAGAGCTGCCCAATACTTTGTTTGTCAAATGAATATTAAATCCAATTGTAAAAAATGCAAATGTGTCAAGCCTAAAAGTTTCACAATGCCCATTTTTCCTCCCTAATCCCCCTCCTTAAAGACAGCTTCCAGGCATATAGATGCACATTCAAAAAAAACAAAAGCAGGGGTGCCTAGGTGCCTCGGTGGCTCAGTGGATTAAGCCTCTGCCTTCGGTTAAGGTCATGATCTCAAGATCCTGGGATCGTGTCCTGCATTGGGCTCTCTGCTCAGCAGGGAGCCTGCTTCGCCCTTCTGCCTGTCTCTCTGCCTACTTGTGATCTCTCGCTGTCAAATAAATAAATAAAATCTTAGAAAAAAAAAAAAACAAAAGCAGGGAGGTGTCACAATCCCAGATTTAAAGATACACTACAAAGCTGTAGTAATCAAAACAGTATGACATTAGCATAAAAATAGACACATAGATAAATAGAACAAAGTAGGGGCACCTGGGTAGCTCAGTCATTAAGCATCTGCCTTCAGCTCAAGTCATGACCCCAAGGTCCTGGGATGGAATCCCATCTCAGGCTCCCTGCTCAGTGGGAAGCCTGCTTCTCCCTCTCCCACTCCCCCTGCTTTTGTTCCCTCTCTTGCTATGTCTCTCTCTGTCAAATAAATAAATAAAATCATAAATAAATAGATATCCAGATAGATAGAACAAAATAGATAGTCCAGAAATAAAGCCATGATTTTATGGTCAATTAATCATCAACAAAGGAGGCAAGACTATCCAATGGAAAAAAAAACAGTCTCTTCAATAAAAGGTATTGGGAAAACTGGACAGGAACATGCAAAAGAATGCAACTGGACCACTGTCTTACATCATATGCAAAATAAATTCAAAATAGAAGGAAGACCTAAATGAGAGACAGGAAACCATAAAACTCCTAGGAGAAAATATAGACAGTAATTTCTTTGACATCAGCCATAGCAAGTTCTTTCTAGATATGTCTCCTGATGTAAGGGAAACAAAAGCAAAATTAAACAAATGGGACTGTACCAAAATAAAAAGCTGCATAGCAAAGGAAACCATCAACAAAACAAAAAGGAAACATAGTGAATGGGAGGAGAATTTTGCAAATGATATATCTGATAAGGGATAATATCCAAAGTATATAAAAAACTTATATAACCTAACACCAATATTAATAATAATACTAATAATCCAATTAAAAATGCACAGAAGACATGAGCAGACATTTTTCCAAAAAAGACATCCAGATGGCCGAGAGACACATAAAAAGGTGATGAGCATCACTCATCATTAGGGAAATGCAAATGAAAACCACAATGAGATATTACCTCACACCTGTCAGAATGGCTTAAATAAAAAAGAAAAGAAATAACAACTATGTGCAGGGTGTAGAGAAAAAGGAACCCTCATGTACTGTTGTCGGGAATGAAAATTGGTATAACCACTGTGGAAAACCAATTATGGGGGTTCCTTAAAAAATTAAAAATATAATTACCATACAATCCAGTAATTCCACTACTGGGTGTTTACTCAAATAAAAAAAAACAAACACTAATTCTAAAAGATATATGTACCCCTATGTCTATTGTAACTTTGTAACAGCCAAATTATGGAAGCAACTCAAGTGTCCATCAAAGGATGAATGGATAAGAAAAATATGGTATGTGTATGTTTTGAAATATTACCCAGCCATAAAAAGAATGAGATCTTGCTATTTGTAACAACATGAAGTATAATGCTATGTGAACCAAGTCAATCAGAGAAAGACAAACATCATATGACTTCACTCATATGTGGAATTTAAGAGACAAAACAAAGAAAAAAGGGAGACAAACAAAAGAACCAGATTCTTAACACACTGATGGTCACCAGAGGAGAGGTGGGTGGGGGAAGGGGTGAAATGGGTGAAGGGGATTAAGAGTATACTCATCATCATGAGCAGAGTAATATATAGAATTACTTAACCATTATATTGTACACCTGAAACTAATGTATCACTGTATATTAATTATACTTGAATTTTTTTTAAAAAGCAGGACCAGTTTGTATACCTGCAGCTCCATCATTTGTTTTATTCCTCTCATAGATAGATCATGGCCATCTTTCCATCTCAGAACATATGCAGATCTGCACTGTTCTTTTGGATGGCTGCATAGTGTTCCATGGTATAAACTTAACCTAATTTATTTGTCTGGTCCCCCAGTGATGAACCTAGAAGCGCCTGATTTTTCGCTGTTACTGATGCTGCACCAAATACCACTACACATGAATCTCTGTGCATGTATTTCTGTGGACCCCATGCCCAGAAGTGGAATTGTAGGCTTGGAGGGTTCTCCAAGGAGAGGCGCTGAGAGTGGGTTCTGTGCCTTGAGGAGTTGTTCAGGTGTGCTCTGTGAATGAGGCCCTCCTGCACTTAGTCAGGTGCTGGGCTAGTCCCTGGGGAGATGCCGCAGGGCCCTCAACTCAGTGGAGGGGCTGAGATTAGATGAGGCTCTGCTGTCTGTGTCCAAAGAGCAATGAGCAAAGGTCAGGGTGGCATTAAAGGCACAGGGGTTCCAAACTGAGATCATGCTCTAGGAAGGAGAGCGGAAAGGGGAATCACCTTCTTGCTTTAGGGTATAATGTCATGTCCTGCACTTTAAGAGTCTTGGTTTTAGTCCAATGAGGCACATTTCATAGCCCAGGGAAGATCTAAAACCCTGGTTCATTTAGCTGAACAGAGACAGAGTCAGGGGCTCACACGGAGTCTCCCACTCCCTGAAGGTGGGGCTTTGCAACAACCCCAGATTTTCTAGGACAACCGCCATTTGTTTAATCGAACACCCTGGTCTCCTGCCACCTTCTTACCCTCCTCCTTGAAGCCCCCAAAGACCCCAGGCTTAGAGTGAAAGAGTTTCTTCCAGTTCTTATGGCTCCTTCTCTAGAGTCAAGGCTAATCTAACCTCACGGCTTCCTCGCCTCCCCCCCCCCCAGCACCCCCTCATGGCCAGAGGGCTAGGGGGCATTTATCATTCCTATGACTCCACATATAGCAGAGACAGCCCAGGACCAGGGTTCAAGCCCAGGTTGTGCCACTTGCTAGCTGAAAGTCCACACTCCATCCTTAAGCCTTAGTTTCCATATCGGCACAATGGGAGTCATCATACCACCTTCCTGAGGGGATTGCAAGCTGAGGAGTCTGCAAACAGGGGACACAACAGAGGTGGGCTATGATCATTGTTTTTCTAGGCCACTGGCAGACTTTCTACCCATAGAATTCTGGACCAGACAGGCAGAAGCAGCTTCGGGGCACGAATTTCCTTACCATCTTTCTTTATATTCAGTCTTCTTAACTCAGAGGCCTCCACTTCTCCTTAGGAACAAGAGAGAGATGAGTGTTGAACTTTGATGAGGGAGGGCAGGTGGGGTTTTCTCTTCCCTGCTTCACTGAGACTGACTCTCCTGGGTTCTTCTTCCTGGGTAGGAGGGCACTCACCGCAGGACTAGTCAGAGCAAAGCTGTGGGCCCCCACTCTCCCCTCTCTTCTCTGCACAGGCCTGAGTCTGCATTCTGTTTCCCTTCTCCTGAGTTTAGAGGTCCCTTTCCAGAATCAAGGTGACCCTCTGGCTGGTGACAGCATCCCTGCTGTGACTGACCCACCCTCTCAGGCTGTCTGGTCCTGTCCTAAACCCCCGGAATCCAGACCCTTCCTCCTTTCTTCTCAGAGTTTGTGTATTTACCACTTGCTGGGTCAGAGCCTCGTCTTCGGAGTCCTGGAAATGAGAAACTCAACATCAGTGCCAGGCTAGGTTGGGACCTTAACAAGTGCCTCCAACCCAGCGGGGGAAATAGGTGACCTCTGAAAATGCTGTGTCAATTTCTGCAGCCCTCAAAGGAGATTTCCATCTATCAGTTTCTGGCTGTAATCCCTTTGCCTCTTGCCTGAAACCCTTTTCTAATCTGCACTGGACCCCTGCCTGGCTGAGCCCAGGTCAGAGCCCCAGGACCCCAAGTGGATTTGGAGTTCCTATCTTACACCCATGAACCCCAACAGTAGCTGGCTCTCCCAGGGGAAAGAAAGTGCCCAAACCTGTCCATCATCAGCATTGACACCCCCTCTCACCCAATTCTCTAGAGGCCACTCACCCGATTCTCCAGAGGGCACCACCTCTCCAGGGGCACCTACTTGGAAGAAAAATCAGTGATTACATATCCCTTACATTCTGGGTGGGGAGAAGTTACACTGTGGGGGAGGTGGATCTTACTCAGAGACTTGGCAGGTGACCTGAGTGGGCCAAGTGGGTGATTGGAGCAAGCTAGAGGCTTATTGCTTCTAAAGGGGCAGCCCCCACCCATCTGCCATGCTAGTGTTATAGGTTATTCAGTTTCCCACGAGAAGCCAGAAATCCAGGTTTTCACATCCACTTCTTGATTATAAAAAAGGTTGGAAACTCTTGGATTCCACAGAATCAAAGATGTCATCCTTTGTGAAACATGACATTATTATACACATTACTATGTAAGGAAAACCACTGCCAATTTTAATTGTAAGTTGTCAGTGATTTTTAAGATGCATCTTGATTTCAGAGATGTCTAAATGTGAAAAAGTATGAGTTGATGAAATGTCGTAATAATAGGGCGCCTGGGTGGCTCAGTGGGTTAAGCCTCTGCCTTCGGCTCGGGTCATGATCTCAGGGTCCTGGGATTGAGCCCCGCATCGGGCTCTCTGCTCAGCAGGGAGCCTGCTTCCCTCTCTCTCTCTCTGCCTGCCTCTCTGCCTCCTTGTGATCTCTGTCAAATAAATGAATAAAATCTTAAAAAAAAAACAGAAATGTAGTAATAATAATAACAACAACAATAATAAAAAATGCTCTATGAGCCAGACAAAACACACCTGCACACACATGGGCACCAATTTGCCACCTGTGCCTGTTCTTGACTATGCAAGATGCAGGTGATGACACTCAGCCACGTGGACCCAGCCTCACGAGGCCCTGAGTTCATGGGAGCCAAGCCAGGCTGCACACTGGGAACAATAGCCCCACACCCTGAGTGTTGAGCTCTCTGTCTGTGCTGCTAAGGGTGATGTGAGCCCTACGTACTTGTCCCAAGCAGCAGCCTCTCCATTAATCTGGTCTAGGGTGGCCTACCGATTTACCCTGATTCTTGGTGCCTATTTTAGTTCCTGGGGACCTCTCTCCTAGGCTGTCAGATCCTTCCCCTGAAGGGCAGGCAGGACCCCGTGTAGCACCCCCACCCCACCACCAGTAGTACATTTTCCATCGTTTGGGTCAGCCCCAGGACACAGACACCAGAAGGGGGCACTCAGCACATGAAAATCAACATGCTGGATTTTATGCATGGCTAATATGCAAATGAGAAGCATCATCAGCATGTCACCCAAGAGTGGCCAGTGCTGAAGGTAAGGAGAACATTCCTACTAGAAAGGCATGATATGAGACTCCAAGAGTGTAACCTCCAATGTCTTGGGGGGGAGAAAGGTGATTCACAAGTTTGTGGTGAAATCTATGTTTTCTACGGTAAATATGAATTACTTTTATGATGAGAAAAAAACCTTTTTAAAAATATCTCATTTTAAAGTAATCTCTACACCCAATGTGGGGCTTGAATTCACAACCCTAAGATCAAGAGTCTCATGCTCCCCTGACTGAGCCAGCCAGGCACCCCAAAAACATTTTTTAAAAGATTTATTTATTTGAGGGGGGGAGGGGTGAGACAGGGAGAGAGAGAATCTGAAGCAAACTTCACGCTGAGCACAGAACCCAGTATGGGGCTCAATCTCATGACCCCTGAGATCATGACCTGAGCCAAAATCAAGAGTCAGATGCTTAACTGACTAAGCCACCCAGGTATCCCCCAAAACATTTAAAAATATATGTAAATGTAACAGTTTTTCTCTCTCTCATTTTACACTCAGTGAAACCATTCTTATACTACTTGAATAATTAAAAACATTTTTTCTAAACCAAGTAAGACTTGCTTTTGTGTAAAAAAAAAAAAAAAGGAAGAAAGAAAATCAGAAAATTCAGTTAAGCAAATAAAACAGTGTAAAGATTACTCACAATGCTACCACCCAGAGGCAGCCAGGGGTAATATCTTGATGCAGAAATTAATATATTTCATTTACATTTCTTAGAATGTGTCTGTTTCTTGTTGGTTCTTGGGTTATTATCAGGTGTTAGGAAACTACATAGATTATAGAAATGTTGGATTAAACAAAATTAAGATTTTTTAAAAGTAATCTCTATACCCAACATGGGGGTTGAACTCACAACCCCAAGATCAAGAGTCACATGCTTTCCTGACTGAACCAGCCAGGTACCCCAGGGATTAAACAAATTAACTGGGTTTTCTTAACATTTGTTAGTCTTTTTGGCAAACTGGTTCATTCCTACAAATTGTTCCCATTTCATCAAAGTGCTTCCAAGGCAAGTGCCATATGTTTATATCTCCTTGCTGTAATAATCACGATGCTTGGAGAGAATTATTCCATAACATGAGTTTTTTAGAGATGAGAGCCTTAATTTTCCTATGCACCTGAAAACAGCCCAGTATTCCAAGACAGTGGGTACTAATCATGTTCCATATTGCTGGCTGGGAAGTTCAGGCCTAGAATGATTGGGTGACTGCACTACGTCACCCTACAAGTCAAGGTTATAGTTCAGAAGAGAATCCAGAACAGTCTCACCATGGCAGAAAATGCTTGCCTCCATCTCCATCTGCCAACGCTAACCATTCATCTTGCCATGTCTCCTATATTTTCCTAGCACTTTTCAGCCATGAAACACCCTCATGAACTTGTTTCTGTCCAACAAAACTCAAAGCACTCATGTCCTTTGTGTAACTCCATTTTCGCCAAAGCCACTGGACAATGACTCACCTCCATAGAGCTGAAGCTCATCCTTCAAAAGGTCAGGCTCCTCATGATCAGCACCTGAGTGGAGACAACCCTCTTTAGTCAGCTCCCCCCATCACAGCACCCCAGGGTAGCTTCCATCTCCTGCACATCTGAAGCCTTAAAAAGTAACACAGTCCTTGTCTGTGCTGGTGGTGAGCCAGGCAGTCTTCAAGAGGCAAGGCAGCTTTACAAATACTTCCCCTTTACCCTGTCTATGCCCCCACACACACTCAGAGGTGACTGTGGTCAGTTTCCTGAAAAAGAATTGAGGATCTGAGTGGGCCTCCTTCAAAGTCAGTAAAAAGCGTTGCCATTTATTGAGCATTTCCTAGGTATAATATGGAACTAAATAATTTATATTTAATATTTCATTATATCCTTACAGAAATCCTATCAAGAAGGTATTAGTACCTCTCCCTCACCCATTTTATGAGTAAGGAAACTGAGGCTCACAAAGTTAAATTATTCCCTCAAGGTAACATAGCCAGTAAGTGGAAATTCCAGGGTTCAAACCCAGATCTGACACCCAAGCATGCCATCCTAATTCTTTTTCTTTTCTTTTTAAAGATTTTATTTATTTATTTGACATACAAAGATCACAAGTAGGCAGAGAGGCAGGCAGAAAGAGAGGAGGAAGCAGGCTCCCTGCTGAGCAGAGAGCCCGATGCGGGACTCGATCCCAGGACCCTGAGATCATGACCTGAGCCGAAGGCAGAGGCTTTAACCCACTGAGTCACCCAGGCGCCCCAATCCTAATCCTTTTTCTAAAAATATTTATTTATTTGAGAGAGAGAGAGAGAGAGAGCAAGAATGAGAGCAGGAGAGCGTGCACAAGCAAATGTGCGAGGGGGGTGGGGAAGAGGGAGAGAATCTTCAAGCAGACTCCCCGCTGAGCATGGAGTCTGAGGTGGGGCTCAGTCTCTTAAACTACGAGATCAAGACCTGAGTCAAGACCAAGAATCAGATGCTTAACCAATTGCACCACCCAGGCATCCCCAATTGCTTTTATCTTCAGAAAAATAACCCAGAGGGAGGCTCAGTTGCTTAAGCCTCTGCCTTAGCTCAGGTCATGATCCCAGGCTCCTGGGATTGAGTCCCTCATTGGGCTCCCTGCTCTCAGGGAGCCTGCTTCTCCCTCTGCTTCTGCCTCTGTGCTCTCTCTCGCTCTCTCTCTAAAATAAATAAATAAATAAAATCTTTAAAAAAAGAAAAGAAAAATAACCCAGACCGCAACTCCAGCTTCAAGGGCAGCATTTATTAAGTATCTCATGTGTGCCAGGTTCCATCCTAGACATTAATCTAGGCTCTTTCCCCCATGCTCTTTCCTTCCCACAATCCATTTCGGCCAAAATTTACTTAAAATTTTTATTTTTCCAAAAATTTTCTTCTGGTTGTCAAAACAGAACATGCTCATTATATAATATTTATAGTATAGGATAGGTCAAAAGAGCAAAAATAAAAATCACCTATGATTAACCATCCAGAGATAACCACTACTGCCATTTTGCTATTTTTCCTTCCAGTATTATTTATCACCATGTATGTGTGAATTTTTACAGAGCATATTTGAGATCAAACAAATCATACAACTTGACATCTTTCTCGTTTACTTTAGAGCTATGTGAAGAGCAGAGCTATAGGCAGGACAGGGTGTCCTTTCCCAGTGTTGGACCTTAGGCTGCTTGCTATTGTTGCCTACTATAAACAAGGCTGAGAGGAACACCCTCCTGCAGGCACGCTCAGTCCCACTGAGAAACTCAGTAGTGAACTGGGCGGGAAAAGGAGAAAGGGCAAGGCCTACTGCCTACCAGGTGAGCTGTCCCTGGGGGGTGTCCGGCTCCCTGGCTTTGCTGATGTTTCCCAGTCACTCCTGGGTGCTGGTCCTCATCACTGCTCTCTGCAGGGAACAAACACAAGCTGTAGGGGAACCTCAGTCTGGAATGAGCCTGAAATACATTTGTTCTGGTGTTCTCAGAATTTAGCTTATATGAGGAGTGTGGTTTGGAAGAAAGATAGCTCTTGGGAGGATAAGAGGGGTAGGAGATCGGCCACAAGCTTTCTGTGTGATCTTGGACAAATAATTTAATATTTCCATTGCTGCTTTCATGAAGATAAGAGAAGGTCATCCAAGGTATCCTAGGACAAGCACAGGGGTGTGTCCCCACACCATGCGACTCTGTCTGCTCCCACCTAGAAGGCCCTTCCCATTTGTCTCCTTTATCTTGAAGGTTAAGGGGCAGGAAGCCTTTTCCAACTGCCCAGCTCATGCTCATCTTGGCCCTCCTTCGTTTGGGGTTACTATAGCATCAACTGTCTGTGCTTGACACGGTGGGCCTGAGGGCCAGTGGTGGTGGTGTTCATCTCTCCAGCCATCTTGAGCTCCTGTAGGACAAGGCCTGGGTCCTCACTGTTCTGAGGGTACCTGGAGGAGGAGATTGATCGAGACCTGAAGAATGATAGGCTTGTTTGCACTCTTGGACGACCAGCATTGCAGGAAGTTCCTGGTTTCAGGTCCAGAGGACTCCCTTTTCCTTAGGATGACCAAGATGTCTCTGGCAGTGCTGATATCCCTCAGTGTGCTTGGGGAGCTCCTACTCAATCTATAAATTTCAAATTTCCAGAAGCCAGATTAACTGTGCTTTAAAATCAGTGCATATGTGGTCTCAGCTAGATATAGAGAAAAAGGTATCAGGAAGTACATCAAGATTACAACAGGAGTATTCATCTCAGAGGATAGGATTTGGGTTGGCTTCTATTTTCTTCTTTTCTGTATTTTATAAATCAGTGTAAGAAAAAAATGCTTTTTCGAATGCCTAGTGGCTCAGTTGATTAAGTGGCTCAGGTCATGATCCCTGTGTCCTGGAATTGAGCACCGTGTTGGGCTCCCTGCTCGGTAGGGAGTCTGCTTCTCCCCCTGCCTGACACTTAACCTGCGCATGCACCACCCTCTCTCTCTCTCAAATAATAAATAGAATCTTAAAAAAAAAAAAAAAAGGCTTTTTCATTGCATTTTGCAAAATATCAAACAAGACAGAAAATTAAAACAAAAATTACTCCAAATTCTATCTGCCAGGGACAACCTCCATCACATGCAAATGAACATTATTTTAGCTTTCTCTATGATATATTCATAATATATAATTTTTTTTTTAAGTAGGCTCCATGCCCAGTGTGGAGCCCAGTGTGGGACTTTAACTCATGACCCTGAGATCAAGACCTGAGCTGAGATCAAGAGTATTTGGGGGAGCTCCTGGATGCCTCAGTCATTAAGCATCTGCCTTTGGTGCGGGTCATGATCCCAATGTCCTGGGGTTGAGTCCCGCACTGGGCTTCCTTCTTAGTGGGAAGCCTGCTTCTCCCTCTCCCCCTCCCTCTGCTTATGTTCCCTCTCTTGCTGTTTCTCTCTCTGTCAAATGAATAAATAAAATCTTTAAAAGAAATGAACAAAAAGATTTATTTAGAAAAAGTATTTTTTATAAAAGTTATTATAAAATTATATGCTGTCTAAAATGAGGACAACTCTATGTGCTCTCTAATTCAGTTACTTAAAAAATTAACCCTGGCAGAAAGAGTCACAGTTTGTTGCTGGTACCCCTGGTACCCATCCCAGAGCCTGGCGCATAGTTGGTGCTCAACAAATATCTATTGAATAAATGTAAGGAAACACACTAATATGTGTTTAATAGTTATCTCTAGGTGACAGAGCAAAGGATGATTTTTTATTCTTTCTACTTCCTTATATGCTCCACATTTTCCACAGTGTTTCTATGTGTAACCTTTCACAATAAAAAGTTTGTTGTGTTTTGTTTAGAGAGAGAGAGCACACACATGTGAGCAGGGGGAGAGGGAGAGAAAGAATCTTAAGCAGGCTCCATGCTCAGCACAGAGCCTGACGTGGGGCTCGATCTCATGACCCTCAGATCATGACCTGAGCTGAAATCAAGAGCTGGCCGCCCAACTGACTGAGCCACCCAGGTGCCTCTCACAATAAAAAGTTTTAATTAAAAACCAACAGGAGCAGGCGAGCGCGTTGCGGCGACATGAAGCTGCTCACCCACAACCTGCTGAGCTCGCATGTGCGGGAAGTGGGGCCCCGTGGCTTCCCACTGCGCCTCCAGGCCACTGAGGTCCGCATCAACCCGGTGGAGTTCAACCCCGACTTCGTGGCACGTATGATACCCAAGGTGGAGTGGGCGGCGCTTCTGGAGGCGGCGGATACCTGGCATCTGGTCGAGGTGCCCAAGGGGCCGATTGAAGGGTATGAGCAAGATGAGAAATTCCTGAGGCAGATGCACCACGTGCTGCTGGAGGTGGACGTGCTGGAGGGCACTTTGCAGTGCCCAGAGTCTGGACGTCTGTTCCCCATCAGTCGCGGAATCCCTAACATGCTGCTGAGTGATGAAGCAACCGAGACTTAACCGCGCCAGGCACTAGTTTTTCAGTCTGTAACCACGAATGGTTTTGTTTATGTATAATATGTTTGTTAGGTCTGTCTTGTATCCCCAAACCTTGACCCAGTGACACACGAAACACAGTGTTCTTGAGCTCGACATATTTCTTTTTCTCATTAAAGGTTCAAAACCAAAAAAACAAAAACAAAACCAACAGGATACAGTAAAAACAAAAAGAAATGTAGGCAGAGCAGTACTGGATGCTAGACTATGAGTTCGGGTCCTGTGTGTGGGGGCTGCTGTGAGGTACCCAGCCAGGGTCGGGGCCTTGGGAGCCATCCAAGCCCAAAGAATGGGCAGGGTCTGAGTTCTAGCAGCAGGCCAGCCATTGTGGACCAGAGATCAGAATCCTGATATCAGTATGTCTCTGTGCTTCTGTTTATTTTCTTGTTGCTTTTTTCTTAGTGTTCTGCTTTGCTAACTAGTACCATATGCAATGTGGAGACCTGAGGGAAGGGGTTCAGAGCCATACTTGGGGGAGGGCATCTGTAGGGGAGCAGCATCCCTGAGGATCAACCACAATCGGAAGACAAAATGTCACCTCCCACCCAGGAAGGAGAAACAAAAGGACAGGCAAGAGCCCCCTTGCACCTGGAAGTTCTTCTTCCAGGGCTACCCCTAACAGGTTGGCTCTTGAACAGTACAGGTTTGAGCTGCACAGGTCCACTTACACACACTTATAGGTCCACATAACACAGTGCACTGCGTTATGAATATATTTTCTCTTCCTTTTCTCAATAACTTCTTCTTTTCTCTAGCTTACTTTATTGTAAGAATACAATATACATGATACAATATACAACGCATATTATACATACAAGACACAGAATATGTAGCAACCACTGTTTATGTTTTCGGTGAGGCTTCCAGACAACAGTAGGCTTTAGTAGTTAAGTCTGGGTGGAGTCAAAAGTTATACACAGATTTTCAACTGCCTGGGGAGTCAGGGTCCCTAGCCCCCATGTTGTTCGAGGGTCAGTTGTACTTTTTAATAAGGACAGTGGCAGGGCACCTGGGTGGCTCAGTGGGTTAAGCATCTGCCTTCGGCTCAAGTCATGATCCCAGAGTCCTGGGATCAAGCCCCATGTTCGGCTCCCTCATCAGCAGGGGGTCTACTTCTGTCTCTCCCTCTGCCCCTCCCCCTGCTCAAGCTCTCTGTCTCTTCCTTTCTCTCTCAAAAAAAAAAAAATAAATAAATAAATAAATAAATAAAGTCTTTAAAAAAGTAATAGTAAGGGCAGTGGCTTCCTTTCCAGTCCCACAAGGAGACTGGCTACAAATAAACCCACTGGACCCACCAATCACTCACTCTCCTCTGTCTGGAGAAACAAGCATAGATTTTGTGGTCTTGAGCCTCAGTCCCATCATTTGCAACGTGAGGATGTGAGGCCAGGGCTTTGTGAGCATTTTTTAGGATTTAGCCTGATAATTCTTTTTCCAAATAAAACCTCAGGCCCAACCCCACTCTGTAAAGCATATCTTAGTGCAGGCATTCTGATGGAGGAGTAAACCAGAGCCCACCCCTTAGCCACCCCAGTCCCAGAAAGACCTCCAGGGATCCTGAGTTGGTTACTGAGCCCTCTGACAGCAGGTCAGTCAGCCTCCCCGTGCCTCAGTTTCCTCACCTGTAAAATGGAAATAATAATAATAGCACCTTCCTCAGCGGGTCTCTTTGATAATGAACTGAGTTATTACATGTAAAGTAAGTGCTCAATGAATGCCAGCCATGACATTGCTGCTGCTATCCATTCAGCCTAACATTTTGAATTAAGAGAACAGAAATGAAAGGACATTCCATTTTCATGGGAGAATAAAGTGGCAATTTGTAATCAAGGCCCAATGGGAAATGTTCACTTCCTGTTAACCCACTGAAGGACTTGTGGGGAATCGATGCTGAGGACACAATTTGTGCCAAAAATTCAAAAAGTAAAAGCCTTTGAGCAAGGATGCCTATGAGCATGATAAACTGGTAGAAGGTTGGGGGATAATCTGTACAGTTCTTTTTTTAGAGCTTTTACAATGTGCTAGGTACTAAGACTTGAAATGTGTACAAAATGTAATCCTCACAATAATCTTATGAGGTAGTAACTTCTGTTATCATTCCCAAATTCCAGATGAGGACCCGAGGCATGTAAGCATGAAAATTAGCTGCAAACATATTATAGAATAACCTGTCAGAATACCTGGGATGTGCCAGCAAACATTTTAAACAGAGGGCAAAATTATCTGTCTGGTAGTTATAACTGTACAAGTTATGTGTACTGTTAGTTATGGTCTGGAAGGGGATATGGAAAAATAGAATTAAAGCATCAAGGTGGGAGGTCACAGGGCATTGTTTTTCCACGCAAATGCTTTTCTTGAATAATACTGTGAATATATGTATACATATATGTTAATATTGCTATACCTGAGGAAGAGGAGGATGACGAGGAGGAAGAGGAGGAGGAAGAGGAGGTAGAAGACTTGTCTCTCTTAGGTTGTTCGTGAGAAAAGAGTCCAGCTTCCCTGTCTGGCTTGTGGAAATCCATCTCTTCATCTGGGAGGCACACATAGAAAAGGATGAGTGTTTCTTGTCTTTCCCAACCCAGAGACCACCAAGACCACCCCAGGCATCTACTTGGACTTAGAGGCCAGGAATGACTGGATTATCTGGGACACTCTCCCAAACAAATAGGGCCAATGGAAGGTGCAGGATATCAGAGCTCTCAGAGACCCCAGGGGCTCAAGGAAGCCCCAAAGCATAAATTTCTCTGAATATGGAAACCAGAAAGGGCCTTCTAAGCATCCCATTCTGCCCAGAGGCCACTAGACTGTGTACAATAGTTTCTAACTTAGGATTCACTGTAAATTACAGGGCAGGTATGATATGGCTAAGTGAACCTTTTCATTCCCAATTCTGGGGTAGTGCAGGAACCTCCCTGCCTTCTCAGGGCCCTCCCTAGTGTCAGCCCAAGCCTCCAGAGCCCCCTTGAGATTTGGGGAGCAACTGAAGGTCCCCAAAGCTAGAAAGTTCTAGGGGACAGACTGACCAAGTATGTGTGTGTGTAAAACATTACTTCTCGGGCGCCTGGGTGGCTCAGTGGGTTAAGCCGCTGCCTTCGGCTCAGGTCATGATCTCAGGGTCCTGGGATCGAGTCCCGCATCGGGCTCTCTGCTCAGCAGGGAGCCTGCTTCCCTCTCTCTCTCTCTCTCTGCCTGCCTCTCTGTCTACTTGTGATCTCTGTCAAATAATAAATAAAATTAAAAAAAAAAAAAAACATTACTTCTCTAGAGGATTCAGCTGTGACTTGAGCCATTATGTCACATGAGGGGAGCAAGGTCTTCTTCTGTTCCACCCACTGCGGGACTCTACCTCCCATGTGGCTTTGCCCAGAGGATGAGAGAAAGCAAACATACAGTCTAGATCTTCTGTTTCTCCATGGACTCGACTATGATCTGGAGTCTGGGAGGAAGGTCCTGACATCTCCATGATTTTCTCTGGAGGAATAAAATAATAAGTAATTAATTAGTACCACCTTAGTTAATCCCCTAAACATATAAAGAGTTTGGCAAATAAAGAAGAAAAAGACAAACACCCAATACTCAAAAGTATAAGTGAATAACTTGTAAAAAAAAAAGTATACAAAATTAGGGGAATTTGAACAATTGGTCATCTTTTGATAATATTAATAATTTACTTATTTTTAGTTTTTAGAACAGTTTGAGGTTCACAGCACAATTGAATGGAAGGTATAAACAGAGCTAACCAACATGCCCCCTGGCCTCAAACACACATAGCCTTCCCTCATTATCAACAACCTTCACCAGAGTTTTTTTTTTAGGTTATATTTATATTGAGATTATATTGATTTAAAGTGTCCTTAAATGTAAGGATACAGAAATTTTTATGATGAAATTATATGACATCTGGGACTTTCTTCAACATGATCTTGTTGAGGAGTCCAAGGGCATAGGTAGGGATCCAAATAAGCACATAAGAGCCTGAGTTGGTAGTTATTGGAGCTATATCAAAATATAAATAGTAGTTATCTCTGGGTGGTGGTATTATGGGTATTTTTAACTTCTTATTTTTATTTTACATTTTCCAAATTTTCAACAGTATTGTTTTTGTTATAATAAAATCACCAACAGGGATGCATGCCTGGGTGGCTCAGTCTGTTGAGCGTCTGGCTCTTGATTTTGGCTTGGATCATGGTCTCAGGGTCATGGGATTGAACCCTGCTTTGGGCTCCAAACTCAATGTGGAGTCACCTTGAGATTCTCTCTCTCTCTCTCTCTCTCCCTCTCCCTCTGTTGCTTCCCTCATCAGGCGCTGGTTCTCTCAATCTCTCTCAAATATATAAATAAAATCTAAAATAAATTTTTTAAATATAAAATCACCAATAACTTTTCCTTATGTACTTAAAAATGTAATATGCCCATATCTTGTCTCAATGCAGTCCTTCATGGTTTTATAAAGGGCTTATCTGAGGCTGTCACAAACCAGTCAGGTAGGAATTGGGATTCATGGCTCCTCACGTTTGAACTGTAGTTTCTAGACAACAAAACTTCCCCAAAGATTGTCTCATTTGACTCTTACAACAACCCTGCAAGTACGTTTTATTATCTCTATTTTATAGAGGCACTCCAGAACCCACATTCTATTTAATACACCCCAAAACGCTGGACTGGGGGCACAGAACTGGAGCCTGTCCCTGCCAGCATGCCTGTCAGGATTGTGGATGCAAGCAATGAACCTAACTGCAGAAAGCAGGCACTTGAAGTGACGAGCAAAGTTTGGGAGGCTGTCCCTTCAGGACACCACACTCTTATACTTTCCTGAAATTCTGAGTGGAAGCACTCTGAAGGTCAGCCTTCCAATGAGACCACAAGAAGGCCATAATGGTGACTCTGGAGGATCCAAATGGCTAACTTCAGCCATCTAGTGCTCTCCCCCGGGGAAAACACATGGAGTGGGGCTCCCCTACAAAGCCATTATTTTTGCTGCGCACATGGCCAGCCAGCTAGAGACTATGGCTGCTAGCATCCCTTGAAGCTAAGTGTGGCCATTTGACTACATTTCTGCTCATGGAATGTGGGTGGATGGGATATGCGTGGTGGTGTGCCCAGAATGTTTAATGGCTCTCCAGGAAGAAAAAAGTACACACACACACACACACACACACACACACACACACACACACACACGTTATAAATTTTGTGATGTAAAAAACATATAGGGGCACCTGGGTGGCTCAGTCATTAAGCATCTGCCTTTGGCTCGGGTCATGATCCCGGGTTCCTGGGATCGAGTCCCGCATCTGGCTCCCTGCTCAGCAGGAAGCCTGCTTCTCCCTCTCCCACTCCCCTGCTTGTGTTCCCTTTCTCGCTATGTCTCTCTCTGTGAAAAAAATAAATAAATAACATCTTTAAAAAAAAACATATAACATACAGTTTACAAATAATAAAATATATAGCACTCTTTACTACAAATTCAACACACCTATAACTTCAGAGTGCTTTGGAATTTCTTGCAAAACCCACTATCAGTTTTTGTAAGTCCATTATCAACAACAGGGTCACAAAATCTGACATATTTTTGAATACTACCAGTTTCAGCAAAAAACTTGCCAACATCAGTGATGAACAGGAGTATTTCCAGTGTGAATGTTAGCTGCTGTTTTCTTTCACATTTATGAATAAGAAAAAAGTGAATCAACTAAGGCATTTCCTGTCATAGTTTGACAGTGATATGAGCAATGCTGAATTGAATCAGTTTTCAAATTCTGAAAGAATATTTTCTCAATTTTTAGGCTACTCACAATGTAATGGCTATAGGTGCAATGTGGTTTTTAGGTTCAATCTGCATTATTAGTGTTTTCTTGATCACTTTCTAAAATGCAGACAGTCCACAAAAAACCACTGAGCTCTGATTTGCAGAGTTTACTGATTCCTATGGTGTAAACACTCCCACCATGGCTGATTTCAAACTACCTGTGGTCATGGAGTGTGAAGTTGGGAAGGGCTACCATAGAACACACCATACAATGTTTCCACCATACTGATAAAACAGGTATGAAAATCTCAAGTGCCTAGGTAATAGTAGAAGGGAGTAAAATAAATCAGGAAATGATATCCTTTGAGTACTTATTAACTTTGTTTTTAATAGAATTTATTTAATTGTACATTTTTATAATTAAATATTGGTTGGGTTTAACAATCAGCTCCCAAAATTCCTAAAGATTTAATGATTCAGTGATCTGCTTTCACAGGCAATACAACCTAGTGTCAGCCCTGGACATATCTGCTTGCCTTCTACTTCCTCTTTCCTGCTTTTGTGTATGCTGGAGCAGCAGACTCACAGACTCCAAGACTCAGGGGTGGGGGGATGGGGGCTGTGAACTACCTCAATCATGCAAAACAAGTCAATACCCCAGGGAATTCCTAAGCAAGAAGTCAAAAGGAAATCTAAGTCTTGCCTGGCTACCTGAACCTACTTCTGATCAGCTATGTGCTCAGGAAATAAGCTTCTCTTTTATTTGAGCCCTGTGATTTGGTCTATTTGTTACAGCAGCATAGCTGAGTTGCACAGGCTTCATTTTAAAGCCTCCCCTGGGGGCACCTGAGTTGCTCAGTGGGTTAAGTCTCTGCCTTCCACTCAGGTCTTGATCTCAGGGTCCTGGGATTGAGCCCGCATCCCTGCATCCCCGCATCCCCAGGAAGCCTGCTTTCCCCCTCTCTCTGCCTCTCTGCTTACTTGTGATCTCTGCCTGTCAAATAAATAAATAAAATCTTAAAGCCTCCCCTATTTTTTCTCCCAGCTCTGAGTCCAAGTCCTCAGCTGGGAGAGGGGATAGCTTCACTACTCTCTGATTAGTTTAGACTAGGGTTCTCAACCTCAACACTCCTGACATTTGGGCAAGATGATTCTTTGCCATTGTATGCATTGTAAGATGTTGAGCCTCCCACTAGATGCCAGTAGCATCCCCCAACCAGTTGTGATGATCAAAAATGTCTCCAGACATTACCAGATGTCCCGTGGGGGTGAAAATCACCCCCACTCATTGAGAAGCACTGGTCTAGAGAATCTACTCTTTTTAAAAATTTTAATTGTATTAAAAGTTTTTATTGTGGTGTAATTGCCATATAATATTATATTTGTTTCAGGTGTGCAACGTAATAATTCAATATTTCTATACATTGTGAATGATTACCACAGTAAGTCTAGTTCCCATTTCTTCCCATACATAGTTACAAATTCTTTTTCTTATGATGAGAACTTTTGAGATCTACTCTTTCAGCAACTTCCAAATATGCAATACATTATTATTATTATTATTATTAAAGATTTATTTAGAGAGGGAGAGTATGTGCATGTGTGCATGCATGAGCAGGGGAAGGGGCAGAGGCAGAGAAAGAGAATTTCCAGCAGATTCCACGCTGATCATGGAGCCCTGTGCAGGGCTCAATCCCATGACCCTGAGATCATGACCCCAGCCAAAATCAAGAGCTGGATGTTTAACCAACTAAGCCACCCAGGAACCCCCTACAGTACCATATTAGTAACTATACTCACCATGTTGTACATTAATCCCCATGACTTATTTCTTTTATTGATGGAAGTTTGTACCTTTTGACCGCCCATATTAGCCACCCGCCACTGCTACCTCTGGCAACCACCAATCTGTTCTCTGTATCTATGAGTTTGGGATTTTTGTATGTTTGTTTGTTTTTGGTACAGAATCTACTCTCAGTCCATGAAGACCTTGGCAAGGCAGTATCCTTCCCTGTGCCTCAGAGGTGGACCATCTGGGCTTGGATCCTATCTAATGCTCTTGGTCATGGGATCTTGAGCAATTATTAACCTCTTGCTGTCTCAGTTTCCTCAGCTGTAACATGGGACAATAATAGTGCTTATCTCATAGTGTCGTTGTGAAATGGCATGAATTAAAACATGTAAAGCGCTTACAACAGGGCTTGGTATAGAGCAGGTATGGAATAAATGCCAGATAAGATGATTTCAGGCCTCCAGACCTAGGCCATTTTTTCTTATTGTCAAAATTGTGTCTGACCTTTCAGGCACAGCTCAAATGCCACCTCCTTCATGAAACTTTGTGCTATTTGCCTAACTAATGCCACTCTCCTTACCCCACTCCCTTAATCCTCCTTCCCCCAGCACCCCTGTCCTTTCTTGCTAACAAAACTGCAGTTTTTTTTTCATTATTACAACAGGAGTAGCATCAAGACAGTATGTATGTAGTGGCAAGAGCATGAGCTTTGGGATCAGACTGACCAGGGTTCAACCATATTCCAGTCATCTGCACACAGGATGACCTTGGGCAGAGCGGTCCCCTTTTCTTGGCTCTAGTTACCTCAGTTGTGAACTGGTGATGGTAGTACCTTAGGGAGGAAACAAGGCAGTGCTCAGTGAATGTGAGGTTCCTCTTCTCCAGACCTCCTATTACCCTCAGATATTCGGTGTCTAGCCCCAACTCTGC